CTTCTAGAGGATGTCCTGGAAGGGGCCTGCCCGTTCACAAGATGATGGAGCTGGGTGGAGCGGTGATTCAGGAGAGCGGAGGACGACAGCACCAGTGTCACTCTTGTGGCACAGGAGGACATTCTGCTGCACGTTGTCATCTGCGTTCTTTTGGGTCTGAAGGTGGCAGACAGGGCACTCTCACGTCACCCAGGTATCGAGCACCCACACTCGTTCAGAGCCCTCTGCTGCGCACTGTACCCTACACATCCACTTTCCTGATTACACGGTAGTTCCCCAGTGTAAGGCGCTGGTCGATTCAGGCGCAACTGGGAACTTTATGGACAGGTCATTTGCACATAGTCTAGGCATTACATTGGTTCCCCTATCCATTCCACTCCCCATCAGAGCACTTGACAGTCAACCATTAGGGTCCGTATTCATAAGGGAAGTTACAGCACAAGTCACTATGGTTACGCACGAGACTCATCGAGTCTCCTGATTTCCCTGTTGTGTTAGGTCTGACTCCTTCAAAATCACAGCATCCTTGTCACATGCGCCGAATACAACAGGTGTAGACCTTACCGTGAAATGCATACTTACAAGCCCTTAACCAACAATGGAGTTTAAAAAAAAAGTGTTAAGTAAGAAATAGATAAGTACAAAATAAAAATAAAAAAAACTAATAATTAAAGAGCAGCAGTAAAATAACAGTAGCGAGGCTATATACAGGGGGTACCGGCACAGAGTCAATGTGCAGGGGCACAGGTTAGTCAAGGTAATATGTACATGTAGGTAGAGGTAAAGTGACTATGCATAGATTATAAACAGAGAGTAGCAGCAGCGTAAAGGGGGGGGGGGGGACAATGCAAATAGTCCGGGTAGCCATTTGATTAGCTGTTCAGGAGGCTTGGGGGTAGAAGCTGTTAAGAAGCCTTTTGGACCTAGACTTGGCCATCCGGTACTGCGTGTGGTAGCAGAGAGAACAGTTTATGACTAGGGTGGCTGGAGTCTTTGGCAATTTTTAGGGCCTTCCTCTGACACCGCCTGGTATAGAGGCCCTGGATGGCAGGAAGCTTGGCCCCAGTGATGTACTAAGCCGTACGAACTACCCTCTGTAGTGCCTTGCGGTCGGAGGCTGAGCAGTTGCCATACCAGGCGGTGATGCAACCAGTCAGGATGCTCTCAATGGTGCAGCTGTAGAACTTTTTGAGGATCTGAGGACCCATGCCAAATCTTTTCAGAGGAGGAATAGGGTTTGTCGTGCCCTCTTCACGACTGACTTAGTGTGTTTGGACCATGATTGTTTGTTGGTGATGTGGACACCAAGGAACGAAGCTCTCAACCTGTTCCACTACAGCCCAATTGATGAGAATGGGGGCATGCTCGGTCCTCCTTTTCCTGTAGTCCACAATCATCACCTTTGTCTTGATTACGTTGAGGGAGAGGTTGTTATCCTGGCACCAAACAACCAGGTCATGAAGCTCCCGACTAACAGTTATTGTGCTGAAGTTGCTTCAAGAGGCAGTTTGGAACTCGGTAGTGAGTGTTGCAACCAAGGACAGACGTTTTTTACGCGTTATGTGCTTCAGCACTCTCCGGTCCCGTTCTGTGAGCTTGTGTGGCCTACCACTTCGCAGCTGAGCCGCTGTTGCTCCTAGACGTTTCCACTTCACAATAACAGCTCTTGTCCGGGGCAGCTCTAGCAGGGCAGAAATTTTACAAACTGACTTGTTGGAAAGGTGGCATCATGATGGTTGTCTAAGGTTGGTGAGGTTGTGATTTTGTCAACCTCTATGTGGATGTAGATAGTCCTGCATATGAAAAACAAGGACAACCACATTTTGTTAAAAGGAAAAAACACTAATTTTAGTGCAGGTCCCACAAATGTTTGTTGTGATGATGACGGAGTTGTCTAAAGCCTTCTCAGATTGCCACCATTTGATATTGTACTTGGCACCATTGAAAATCAAAACCAAAACCAAGTTTAATTATCAAACAGTGGGAAGTGCTTGCTGCCATCTGGTGGAACACAGCTGAATGAGAGGATAAATTATTTGAGAGATCATGTTCAAAACAAATACACAATGAACAAATACGGTAGATACTAAAACTGATATTTTATTATGTATTTTGGGACATTTCAACCAAACATCATACATGATCATTTGATCATTTCTTTTGTCACCTTAAATATGGCCAATTTATCAATCATATCTCTAACTCACACTGTTTTCTCATCCAATATATATTTTTGTAGACACTCTTATCCAGAGCAACTAGGGATCAGTGCCTTGCTCAAGGGCACATCAACATATTTTAACCTAGTTGTCTTAGGGATTCAAACCAGCAAACTTTCAGTTACTGGCCCAATGCGCTTAACCACTAGACTATCTGCCACCCCATTCTTCGCTGTCTCCAATCTCACCCCTAAGTCAATAACAGGCCAGCTCAAGCATGAACCTTTACATAGAGTACTGTATATAGCTCTGAGTTTGTCTTACTCAACTATCCTCACTCACACTGTTTATATTGGCCTTGTCCCACCCTGACCCAATAGGACATCACCATTACAATGATTTTATTACGTCAGTTCCTTTCCACCCTTGGGAACAACTTGAAGCCTTTCAATTGAGTTATTCACCTCCCTGTTTCTTGACTCCAGTATCCTTGTTATCATCTTTAATTAAAGTAATTTGTTTGGGGAATTCAGACTGTGACCTCAAATCATATATTTTATTGGAGATGTCTGACTGCTTCAGTGTTGTCAGCCGAGATCAAACTTGATAGATTATCTCAACTTTATAGATGCCAAAGTTGCTACATGTACAGGATAGTGATCCACACCCATTAGACTAACCCTCTATTGACAATGACCCAGGATTATGCTTCTTTAAAGGAATCACATAAGAGTTTGCCACATATTTATTTGTCCGTGTTGATTTGTTAATGACATCATACTGAATCATACTATCATCCAATGTGTATTAGTGAAAGAGCATGTTAAATTGTTGGATGAAATTGTATAATTTCAAATATATACTAAATGTTATGATGAAGATAACATTATAACATTACAGCACGTCTCAAACTCATTCCATGGAGGGCCGAGTATCTGCGGGTTTTCGCTCCTCCCTTGTACTTGATTGATGAATTAAGGTCACTAATTAGTAGGTCTTAATTGAAAGGAAAAAACCATAAACCCAGCAGACACTAGGCCCTCAATGGAATGAGTTTGATACCCCTTGACCTACAGTCGTGGTCAAAAGTTTTGAGAATGATACAAATACTAATTTTCACAAAGTCTGCTGCCTCAGTTTTGATGATGGCAATTTGCATATACTCCAGAATGTCATGAAGAGTGATCAGATGTCCCTCTTTGCCATGAAAATGAACTTAATCCCCAAAAAACATTTCCACTGCATTTCAGCCCTGCCACAAAAGGACCAGCTGCCATCATGTCAGTGATTCTCTCGTTAACACAGGTGAGAGTGTTGACGAGGACAAGGCTGGAGATCACTCTGTCATGCTGATTGAGTTAGAATAACAGACTGGAAGCTTTAAAAGGAGGGTGGTGCTTGAAATCATTGTTCTTCCTCTGTTAACCATGGTTACCTGCAAGGAAACACGTGCCGTCATCATTGCTTTGCACAAAAAGGGCTTCACAGGCAAGGATATTGCTGCTAGTAAGATTGCACCTAAATCAACCATTTATCGGATCATCAAGAACTTCAAGGAGAGAGGTTCAATTGTTTTGAAGAAGGTGTCAGGGCGCCCAAGAAAGTCCAGCAAGCGCCAGGACCGTCTCCTAAAGTTGATTCAGCTGCGGGATCGGGGCACCACCAATGCAGAGCTTGCTCAGGAATGGCAGCAGGCAGGTGTGAGTGCATCTGCACGCACAGTGAGGTGAATAATCTTTGGAGGATGGCCTGGTGTCAAGAAGGGCAACAAAGAAGCCACTTCTCTCCAGGAAAAACATCAGGGATAGACTGATATTCTGCAAAAGGTACAGGGATTGGACTGCTGAGGACTGTGGTAAAGTCATTTTCTCTGATGAATCCCCTTTCCAATTGTTTGGGGCATCTGGAAAACACCTTGTCCGGAGAAGACAAGGTGAGCGCTACCATCAGTCCTGTGTCATGCCAACGGTAAAGCATCCTGAGACCATTCATGTGTGGGGTTGCTTCTCAGCCAAGGGAGTGGGCTCACTCACATTTTTGCCTAAGAACACAGCCATGAATAAAGAATGGTACCAACACATCCTCCGAGAGCAACTTCTCTCAACCATCCAAGATCAGTTTGGTGACGACCAATGCCTTTTCCAGCATGATGGAGCACCTTGCCATAAGGCAAAAGTGATAACTAAGTGGCTCGGGGAACAAAACATCGACATTTTGGGTCCATGGCCAGGAAACTCCCCAGACCTTAATCCCATTGAGAACCTGTGGTCGATCCTCAAGAGGCAGGTGGACAAACAAAAACCCACAAATTCTAACAAACTCCAAGCATTGATTATGCAAGAATGGGCTGCCATCAGTCAGGATGTAGCCCAGAAGTTAATTGACAGCATGCCAGGGCGGATTGCAGAGGTCTTGAAAAAGAAGGATCAACACTGCAAATATTGACTCTTTGCATAACCTTAATGTAATTGTCAATAAAAGCCTTTGACACTTATGGGATGCTTGTAATTATACTTCAGTATACCATAGTAACATCTGACAATAATATCTCATAACACTGAAGCAGCGAACTTTGTGAAGACCAATAGTTGTGTCATTCTCAAAACTTTTGACCACGACTGTACAGTATAACATAGACTGATATAAGATCATCTCTTTAAATGTTCCTTGATATTTGTTTATCATCCCCTTTTGAACAATGTTGTTTTCCAATGATAAGACAGTGGACTGAGAGGAGAAATGATTTGTGAGATCATGCTCAAAACAAATACACAATGATCAAATACGGTAGATACTGAAACATGTTTTATTATGTATTTTGGGACAATTCAACCAAACATCATACATGATCATTTGATCAACAATGATATTCAAAAGCATGTTTGTTTTGTCAACTTAAATATCAAATATGGTAAATGTATCAAAGATTGCACAGTGTTGTACATTCACCGAGCATACAGGCAACACCAAAGCGATGCCATCCAGAGATTATAACATTTTAAACATTTCTGGTATTCCATTTTAGCTGTAGGCGGAACCAGGCTTTTAATGACGGGTGGGTTTGGGTGGGTTGAGGGCAAGGGATCTAGTTTTGCGGGACCTCCATGTCCACATCCTCTGTACGGGAGACCACCTTACCATCGACCATCTCCTCGATCACCGTCCGCACTCTCTTTGTCACCACTGGCACTGTTTCAAAGAAGGCACAAATAACCATTAGTACACTTAGTGTTGGGTTTAGCTAAAGAGGAAAGGAAAGAACCAACCTTAAAATTCAAATCAACCAAATCCTTTGTGTTCTAGAGTGTTTCACAATTACTACTGCTGGGTTCAATCAATATGGAATTTGATATGATAGAAAATGGGCTCGCTCTACTTACGTTTTTGGACCTGAACAGTCTCAACCTTCTTGGTGATGACAGTTCTCCTGGTGGACAGAAGATAGTTTGAGTGTTAAGTATCTTCCTATTTAACAACTCTACATTGAACTCTCTACTCTGTAACACAGTCTCTATTGCCCAGTTCCAAATCGACCCCTGGCCCCTTCCCTAGTGCACTTCTTGTAGATCTGCAACGATTAGATAGGCTACTGTAGGACATTAGCATAATGATGATTGCTCCATCTTGCCCTCTAGTAATATTCACCATAGTTCTTGCATGTATCCAATCATTTTAAATCAAAAGTGCCTACAGCAGGTGTTTATGTGCCAAAGGGGTAGGGGCTACTGAAGGGGCAACGGGCTAGGGGTTGATTTGTCATTGGGTATGTAAATGCACATTTAGCATTTACATTGGGTATGTGAAGCCCATGTAAATCCCATTGGGTATGTAAATTAGGGATCTACACTCTTCTCTCCTCTCCTTACCCGACATCCTCTCCATCCAGCAGCCTCCTGTACTCAGCGATCTCCATCTCCAGCCGGGTCTTGATGTCCAGGAGCATGCGGTACTCGCCGGCCTGCCTCTCGATGTCCGTCTTCATGCGACCCAGCTCCTCCTCCAGGCTGTTGACCATGCCCTGGAGCTGGTTCAGCTGCATGCTGTAACGGGACTCGGTCTCATTCAGCTGGCCCTCCATGGCTGCTTTCTATTGGGAGAGCGGGAGGAAGAGGAATGGTTAAAGGCCAAATGACATCAGAGCATGATTGAGGTGAAGTTCCTGGTGAGCACATGTTTTTAGAATTCAGTTTTGAGGAGAACAGCTATAGTATAACAAAAACGGTTCTCCTCAACTTCACTTCATCTCTCCATCAATCGAAGAGCTTGTCAAAAAATGAAATGTATTATTATTATGGCTTGTGATAATTACAGAGCTCTGAGTTGACTGATTGCTTCTCTCTCTCTAACTAATCCATCATCTTCAGTTGCTAAAAGGTCAACTTGAGGACTCATATGTAACCCGTAGGGTAGGAATGTATTTATGAGGTCTAAATGATCATGGTTTTACAGTGATGTGTCAGTTGTACTGTACTGTTTAACTGGAGGTGTACTCTTGTAAATGTCATGTATTTCCGAATTCCGAGTGATCTACAGTAATTACAGCCTGGTCTAGCTCTAACTCAAACTCATACGTCTAGCAACAACTAGGAGGCAGAGAGGGGGTCATTAATGGGGTTGAGGGGGCATTGGTTTCCTCACCAGGCTGAGCTGGGACTGCAGATCGATCTGCAGTGCCTGCATGGTCCTCTTGAGCTCGTTTATCTCGCTGCGGGACGTCTGGAGGGTCTCTGTGCTGCTGGCCACCACCTTGTTCAGCTCATCAAACTGGGACGGACAGACGGAACAAGGTAAGAGTTGTGTAACTCCACTAGTACTGGTAATAAGCACAAAAGTCATTCTCTATGGTCTGATATCTCTATATTGGCATGATCGAACAAGGATAAGATAGCTTCAAGTATGTGATCACAGTAATTGGTTGTTTATAAGCACTTTAAATACTGTTCTCATAGGACATAGGTTTTCCCTGTAAGATATACTAAACTATTTCCATATGATCTAAAACAGAACAGATGGATCAAGAGGTTCTCCATAGACAAGGTTGGGCTCTTGTTCTCCTCACCTTGTCCTTGTACCAGGACTCCATGTCGCGGCGGTTCTTCTCGGTGATGCCCTCGTACTGAGTTCGGATCTCCTCCATCATCCTGGCCATGTCCTGCTGGGGCGCTGCGTCCACCTCCACGTTCACTGAGCTGGTGCTCAAGTGGGCCCGCAAGGCAGCGATCTCCTATAAGGGGCACAGAGTGATGACAGACGTCAACTAGGGTCAACACCAGGTGAGAGGCCAATGGAGGTTGTCACCGGATAGGCTGTCACTGGGTAAGATAAGATAGAACTTTACTGTCCCAGACAGGGAAAAAGTCTAGCACGATTACACAGGGGTGAGGGGACAAATTGGGCCACAGCCAGGTGAGGTGCACGGGTGTCTCAGGTTCAACCACATGACAAATCAATGAGGTACTTGGGTGTCACAAACTGTCACCATCTTTCATAACCTAGTTACATTGTTCATGGTGTATTGCCATCAGCTTGTCTGACATCCTGTACAACCATCCTAAAGTAAGTAGATGATTACTGTGAAAATACTCAAGGTAATTTCCAACAGGAAATAGGACTTGCCACCATGTGATCTCAAGTGTGGTTTTAATGGTTTTGCCATACTGTCGTAGGGCTTGTGACACATTTGCTGACAGCTTTAAAGCTACACAAACAGAGACAGCGCAGAGACTCCAAACAAGGTCTGTTTGATCTGTTGTTTGCATTATCATTGATACAGCCAAAGACAATACTGCTTGGCATGCGATGAGAATGAATTATGTCTCTGACAACTCCATTCGACTCTCACAACCACATTGTTTTCATCTAGGTAAAATATATAAGAATTTGGAACTGTGGGGAGGTCTTGCTATTGACAGGGCTATGCCATGACTCTTGGGGATATGGTATGATAAAAGAGGGCTTCCAAGGCCCTTGGGGGCCATTTTGTGAATTTGGGCAGGTCCCACTACAGTGCCCTGAGGAACACCCACCTCTGCATGGTTCTTCTTGAGGTAGACCAGCTCCTCCTTCAGCCCCTCAATCTGCATTTCCAGGTCTGAACCGGGACATGGTCAACTCGTCCAGAACCTTCCTCAGTCCAGCGATGTCTGCCTCCACCGACTGACGCATAATCAGTTCACTCTCAAACCTTTCCAGAGGGAAAAGGACAAACAGGGCATGTGAATTTCCCAGCATTATTGACAGTTACCACCAACAGTAAACATACCAAATGGCACAAAACCAGTCAGACCAGTTTTAATGTATAGTTGACCGCTGATGATGTTTCTAAGGTGTACAGTATTGTGAAATTTAACATCACGTCATGGGCTCGTTGACCTTCAGTATGGTTATACTAGGTGTGGCTTCATACTCTAATAATGGTTTAAAAGTTGCATGACTAAAGTTGACATATGACGTGTAGTTCCAATTCCAATCCTGACTGAAAGTATTATTCTAAGGTGAATTCAATTCCATCTTACAGACCCTTTGTACTCACTTTACTTTGAAGTCTTCTGCTGCCAGTTTGGCATTGTCTATCTGCAGGATGATACTGGCGTTGCTCAGAGTGGCAGCACTGATCTGAGAACAGGACAAAAAACAGGTTGGTACATGGTAAATAAAAGGGGAAAAAAATTACACACTGTCAGGCTTATCACAATTATTACATAATTTGCTTTTCATTATCATAAACAATGAAGGTGCATTCTCCCAAGCCATAACCATGAATAGCTGTAATGAGAGACTATTAATGTGTGATAAGGTGAAGCCTACCAGAGCTACAGGGGTCTGTTAGTAAGTAATTGATTAGCCTCCTGCCCACACAGATATACTGTAGCCAATCTATGGCAAAGGCCACACAGTTATGTATGGGAAATGACAATAATAAGCATGACTTGAATCCCATCAGATGCAATAATACAAAATGCTATTGAACAGAAGGTATGATTCATTTTAGCGTCATTATCATGGCTCTCCCCTTTGAAATAAGTAATGTAGGCGGCATGAGTGTGAATGTAAATGTTGACAGGGAGATAAGTTGAATGGAAGTGACAGTTTCACTTGCCAAGCCCTTTTTTTTTGGGTAATTTCTTTCTTTCAATAGAGACAAACAAACTAAACTACCCATGTAAGCAACACTCATGCCATTTAAGTCCTATAATCCATTACTACTGTAAACTTGGTATGATTCCTCTATTCAAGTCAAGGGTTTACAAATGTACATCCCGAGGGCACACTTGTATTGTAACCTGACAGCTTCATAGACGCAGCCAGTCAATGAACTTCGGGGTATGACTTGTGGCTTGTATACCATAATTGAATTTTATGAGAATAGATGTTGTTTCCTGCCAGAGTAGAAATGTTTAGACATTTTCCTTTTGTAAATGATATAGCCAAAAATTTTTTTTTAAATCTCATTCAATAAAACTTGATCTAAACTCAATAGTCAACAGGAGTGAGGTTGATGAACGAAAATGTCATCATATCAATCTCGTTCAATATAGCAATTTACTGTATTTACGATGGCCCCAAAAATGCTCACCTTTCTGCGCAGGTCGGCAAGAGTAGCATCGTATTTGCTGTAATCACTGATGACCGGTTTCTTCTTCTCGTACCACTCGCGGATTTGACGCTCGAGCTGGGCATTCGCCGTCTCCAAGGAGCGCACCTTCTCCAGGTAGGTGGCCAAACGGTCGTTGAGGTTCTGCATGGTAGCCTTCTCGCTGACCGACACTGCATTACAACCATAGCTGCCATTGTCACCTCCAAGCGCACTGGACAGGTCAAAACCGCTCCTGGTGCCCGAAGCATAAGATACGCGGACACACTGTCCCCCTGCCCCTCCATAGACGCTTGGTGCCCGTGATGCGATGCGACTCTGGTACCCTCCTCCGAGAGACATGGAGGATGAGCCTCGGCTGCCTCCATAACTGCGAAGTGATAAAGCACTCATGGCGACGTTGTGATGATTGGTATGTAGAGCTGACAAAACCCGGAGTGGTACTTCGAAGAGTTGGTGAACCAGTCCAAGCCTGGCAGCGGAATATATACCCCCTTGGAGGTGGGAGCTGCTGGAGGGCGTATTGAGATAATTATTTACGTGAATAGATATTCATCAGGCATCCAACAGGTGTGTCCTTAGTCAGCTCATTAAATACGGGCACTAAGGTGTGTTGTGCGTGAGAGTTAGCTGGCATTCTGCCTCCAGAATATGTACCGCTTTCATTTAAAGTATGACAACTCTCATGTCATGTTAAACCACAGGTAAGCAAGTTATGAATATGATAAAATAGTAGCTTACGTTTTAAGAGATGAGGAACAACGGAATCCCGCAACAAAAAGTCTACTTTCTCCTCTAGTCACCGAAAAATGTAGGATACAGTAAAATAGGCTACACTATCTCTCCTAAACTTAGTAGAACAGTAGGCTAGCTCACATGACATGCTCATGTTGGTAGGCTATGTTTTGGAGAGACCATAAATACATTATTTTTAAAATACAAATTATACATTTCACCAATATTCTGTTTATTTTTCAAATATTATTTGGCAAATAAATTAGGTTCAAGGGTAATAGTAACAGGTATTGAAGTCTCCCAAATATGGAGGCTAATCCAAATCAGAAGTCATTAGGTCTAATACAGATAGGTTCCATTATTTCCTCATAGTTAGTGAAACTACAAAAAAAAAAATATATATATATATTTTCAATTTAGAACATGTTGTAAATGCATGTAGATGCTCCTTGGCTCTTTACAGTATTGATCATCATACCATAAAAGTAGTCGGTGACATGATAAAGAGGAATTTATGACATGGTTACCCTGATATTTACTTGATGGTTTACTATGTTAAAGATTCAACGATGAAGTTACAAATTGTTATAGAGATGTCACTTGAATCAAGAGGGCATTCAGGGAGAGAGAGGGAGAGAGAGAGAGAGTGAGAGAGTGAGAGTGAGAGTGAAAGTGTGTGTGAGAGAGAGAGAGAGAGAGAGAGAGAGAGCGAGAGAGAGAGAGAGAGAGAGAACAATTACCTTTAACAGGTACTCTAAACTTCACATCAAAGCTATAGTTGGTTGCCCATTATTGCACAAAACACACACACACACACACAGTACACGTATGTGTGGAATGACCCAAACAATACACAGAAACACATTAATATACACTGAGTATACTAAACACTAGGAACACATTCCTAATATTGAGTTAATTTAGCACAGATATCATGCAGAAAGATTGATAGGCCATTTATTAAAAAGATTGATATGCCATTGATATTAACTGATTGCACAGAAAACTGGTTTCATGTTTGGCTACTGCCGTAGGCCAGTGTTGGTATATGGACCACTAGACGTCTTCTCCTGTCAAACTCAAGTCTCCATTTTTTTGTCATCAGGTGCAAAGTGTGAATCACAACGTAGGTGTTTCCCAGATGTTGAGTGTGAACACAACCTTTCCGGCACAGGTGGTGTCTTTGCCATCCCTCTCTGGAGTTGTTTTCACAGGCATGTTCTCGAGTATAAGACATTTGCAATTATATGATTAGCTTGCAAAATAGAAAGCAACCACAAACTGTCAAACGTTCTCATTACTTGCCCTTAACGGTTACTGATCCTGATGTACTTTTCACCTCTGAATTGAATCTATCAGTCTTTTGGGAAATCAAACTCTATTATATGTTCAATAGCATGTTGTATGATTGTATCTGACGGAATGCTGCAAGTCATGCTTAGTTATAATTTCCATTATCCATGACTATATAGCCTTTGCCATACTGTGGTTATGGTTCATCTGTGTGGGTAGGCTAATGAATCACTTACTAACACACCTTCATAGTTCTATGTACTGTATGTACGCATTATTATGCCTTCATAGCTGTTTTAGGGAAATGAAACATTCAAACGCAATACACTCCATCCCTTATCTTTCAATCCCTGTTCTGATATCTATTATATCGTCATAACCTCAGAATAACACAATTGTTTACACTTTGAGAAAGTGTTCTTGTGTCTGTGACTATTCTTGACTCATAATAAACAGCTTTCTCTGTAGTAGTTCACTGTTGGCAATCCTCAATGCAGAAATCTTCTACTTAGGAGAATCAAGTCGATAATAGCCTCAAATTAGTACTTATGGGCTTCAATGAGAGATCACAAAAAACATAATGAAAGAACATGAGCTTTTCCGAAGGAGCCACCTGGTCCTTTCAGAACAATATGTACTTTCTAATGAAAACCGCTGTATGATGTTCCATTCAAAAAACATGAATAGCTTTTCAGATGAACAAGGCTGGAGAGGAGCACGCTTCCCATCCTCACCCTCATAATCACAGCTTTGCCCCATTAAAAAATACTTCTCTATTTTAGACCTGTAATTCCCCCTTTGGTTTTGATGCTTACAGGATATGCCATGTTGCTGAAAATTACCCATGCATAGCTTAGAGCAGGGGTGTTCATCTCTTACCCTAGAAGGGCCAAAGCCTGCTGGTTTTCTGTTCTACCTGATAATGAATTGCACACACCTGGTGTCCCAGGTTTAAATCAGTCCTAGATTAGAGGGGAACGCTGAAAAAATGCAGTGGAACTGGTTTTGAAAGCGAGTTGAGTTTGAAGGGCTTAGAGTTTCTTTACTGTAATTGCTCTCCCTCCCTGTCTCTCTCTCTCTCTCATGTGATCATTTTAAAGGTCAGAGTGGGTTGATGTTAGCTGGTTTGTCAACATGCTTTAATTTAATTTCGATGGCCTTCACACAGGTGTGATGGAGGTCCATGTCACGTCCCTACACTTTCTGCCTGTTCATGAGTGACACAGCGTACTGACAGATGCCTATTGAATTACTACCCAATAGGCACACACTGGTTTAATCAACATCAATGAAATGATGTTGAACCAATGTGGAATAGATGTTGAATTGATGTCTGTGCTCAGTGAGTAAGTACTTAGCAGTTATTTTCAAGCCCACACGGCTTCCTCATCTGTACATCAGTTCATTACCTGATGGAGAAATTGAATGCAATGTTGTGTCCTCTAGGTGAAAACAGTAACAGACAGACAGAATTCATGCACACTTTGTGCCACACAGACGATTTACTCATTGCAACACTCATCACAACACACATTTAAAGTGTTCCCATGATCTTATTAGTTTTCTCAACATACAGTAATTTATCATTAACACGGTCTTAATTAAGACTGTCTTAATTAACCACATGAAATGGAATAATCTAAAATGATTGACAGATTACTTTTGGCCAATTGGGTTGGAGTAGGAGTTCCCCTGCTATAGGGTGTCCACTGACATTAACTCTGTGACTTGAGCTGAACTGAACTGTGGATTTGAGCCATTGTGAACGCATTAGGCTTCAAAGGATGTGGACAGACAGTGTGCACCTTCAGGGTGCCTTGTCAGATCTAAGCAGACAGCCCTAGTGACAAACAGAGCAGACATTTTAGGTTGCGTTTAGACAGGCAGCCCAATTATTTTTGTTCACTAATTGGTCTGTTGACCAGTCAGATCAGCTCTGAAAAATATGTGATGTGAAAAGACCTGATGTGATTGGTCAAAAGACCAATTAGTGGAAAATATATCAGATTTGGGTTGCCTGTCTAAACACTGCTGTTCTTTCCCCCTAGATATCAAGTTGTTTACTTGCTCTGTGTGCTGCATTTCAAATTTATTTTTATTTATTATTTATTTTTGAATAAGCCTTTTAGTCAATTTATACCAGTATGTACACTACAGTATCAAGCTTATTGAGGGACCAATCATACAGCTCTAATATAACTGTCTGACACTCCTTTTTGTAGCAAAGTTGCTCTCTCCAGTGTTGTGGTTGTGTAAGCCATGCTTGTCTGACCACAATCCTTGTAATGCTTTTGGGCCAGCCTGCACATATTGTTCTTTTAAGCCCTCAAAGCTATAATCCGTAGTTGAAACAATAACAAAGCCCAAACCCTGCCTCTGTTTTTGTAAAAGCTGAGGAATGGGACTGGAGAAATGTAACCACTCTCAAATTCATAGACAGATCTATGGATGCAACGACTGACCATCCATGATATCAACATTATAGTTTAAACCATGTTTTGAGGCTGTATAGTGTTAGTTTACATTTACTTTGTTTACAAACATTGGGGTAAAAATAGCTTCTATTTTGTGTTCTGATGGGGTATGACAGTTGAACTAAGCTCATGTGGCATTTATAAGTCATATTCTTCAAGAATCAATGGGTATGCATAATACATTTTTATGACAAAAAAGGAAGTAGCAACTAAGTATTTTAGCTTTAACCAAGTTGAATTGATCAGTTATAACTTAGGAAGGAACGGTTAATCCTAAATCAGTTGTGATGGTCAGAGGCTAAACCAGATCATGCCAGTGCACACAGACTCCACACCTCTTGCTCTTCTGGCGACCCCTCCTGCTGTCTATGGAGCCTTTACCTTGACTTGTTTGGACGTGTATAAAGTATGTCCCCATCCTTGTTCAACAGAAAGGAGATGGCAGGAAAGTGTGCCACTCCTAGATGTAATTGTTTTTCAGAACAACAAGGACTCCTAAGCCCGGAGGTGTTTTCACAAAACCATGTCGAAGCAGATTATGATGTGGCCTAATCGTTTTTTAATTGTCCCTCTCTCCTCAGCTTTAACACTAGAAGTGCACAGAACGTCATGTACCGCAAAACTCATTTACATTTTTCATTACTCTGCCATTTTTAAAGTCATGTCCCCCCATTCTTGGTTTTCCTAAATAAGTATATATGCAGTGCATTCGGAAAGTATTCAGACCCCTTCCCATATTCCACATTTTGTTATGTTACAGCCTTATTCTAAAATATATATATTTTTTAATGTCCCTCAACAATCTACACACAATACCCCTTAATGACAGAGCGAAAACAGGTTTTCAGAATTTTTTGCAAATGTATAAACAAAACAAAACAGAAATACCTTATTTACATAAGTATTCAGACCCTTTGCCATGAGATTAGAAATTGAGCTCAGGTGCATCCTGTTTCCATTGATCATCCTTGAGATGTTTCTACAACTTGATTGGAGTCTACCTGTGGTAAATTCAATTGATTGGACATCATTTTGAAAGGCACAAACCTGTCTATATAAGGTCCCACAGTTAACAGTGCATGTCAGAGCAAAAACCAAGCCATGAGGTTGAAGGAAT